AAAAAAAAAGCAAAATATGAAGGTGTTGCTTCTCTACATCCCCTCCTACATCTAGGTCTGTGCCCTTCTGAAGGGGGTGTTTTCATCTCTCTAACCCTCTGCCCAAAGAATTCTGAGTTCTTCTGTTTATACCAAGGAGCTCTGGTAGCATAGTGGTTATGAATCGGGCTGCAAACCTCAAGGTCGGCAGTTCGAAATTACCAGTGGTTCCGTGGGAGAAAAATGAGGCGGTCTGCTCCCATAAAGATTTACAGCCTAAGAAACCCTGTACAGGGTCACTATGGGTCGGAATCGACTCGACAACACTTAACAACAACAACAACAACTGTTTATACCAAATCAAAACGTTTGGTTTTTTTCTTACTAAGCCCCCATGACCATCCCTTGTCCTTCAAGAAAACCACCAAGATTAGTTCATTGGAATCTCAAAAAACAGTCCCACGTTTGAGCTGACCTCTCTGCCTTGAATTTACCATGAGATCCTCCTGGAAGTCACTATTTTGATTAATCCTTTTTTGAAGACACCCCTAGTGAGAGTTAGACAAGTGTATACTAAGAAACTTGTCTACAGTCACCCAGTGGTCACAGAAGCATGTTTCAATGTGTTGTGTTTAAACCTGTGCATGTATAAACCGATACCTTGGATCAATACTTTGAGACTTTACCCTTGTACATACTAGTGTGTACATTTTGTTGGTGATGTTTTCGGCTATTCTGTTAGCATTTCCTTTTTGTGTCCGGACCTCAGCAATATTATCTAAGGAATCTAGAATCTAAGCATGCAATTCCAGGATTATTGCCATTGTTACAGAATGCCCTTGCCACCGTGTATCAGAAAGACATTTCAATTTTAGATCACTGCCTAAATATGTTTTAACATGGGCAGTTCTTACAGAGAGTTGCTGAACAGGAAAGAAAACTCAACTCCTTACAGACAACTTCACTGAAAATAATTAATCATGTATAAGGAGCTCTGGTAGTGTAGTGGTTACGAATTGGGCTATGAACCTCAAGGTCAGCAGTTCGAACCTACCAGCTGCTCCGCCGAGAAAGATGAGG